CGCCCCGGTCCGTCTCGGCAGCGGGGGTTGGCACTGACTGCTGCGGCCTGGGTCGGCTCTGGCTTCACCTGGAACGGCTTCCAGTCAAATAAAAAAAGGAAAAGCTACAACCGTGACAAACGCACTCGAAGATCAGCCGTGGTTTGGGTGGGCTTCTCGTTTTTGCATCCTCCCTTACAACAGACGCTGAGAAGCAGAGGTTGGCTGCCGGTGGGCCCTGCCACCAGCCCTGCCGTGGCCCTGCCGCCAGCCCTGCCGTGGCAGCAGAGCGAGTGCGGGTGGACATGGGTGCCGCGGCCAGGCTTTAGGGGCCTTTAGGGCCTGACTTTGCAGGCAGGTATGCAGATGGGCCGGTTGCTCTGACACCGGCCGGAGTACGCGCTGGCCGGCTACCCTGGTGGCGGCGGTGGCTCCGCAGGATTAAGAGGAGCGAAAAGCAAGAAAACCTTATTTTTATCTGATGGTTTTGATGACACCACTGAGTTCACGCAGGGGCCAGTGAAGTATTTTTAAGTGGTGACATTCCTCAGGGCAGATTTCTAGCCCAGCAATGCCGTCTTCCCTCTGCCCCCTAAGAAGGGGTGCGTGCCTTCAAGCTCCATATTTTTAAAGGCCGCCGCCAATTAGCTTTTTAAACTCTAGTGTCAATGCTCAATGAAGGGCGACGTTCTTTTGCCTTCAGATGACTTCATGAAAGAATGTTGCCCTGGTACAGGAGTCAGTTCTGGATACTGGGATTATAATATATGAGAAAAATATATTTTGAGCAGCCTAAGTATATAGATATCTGTTCGCCCCTGGTTAATGAGGCATACGAAGTTAGCAAACGTACGAGTGCTACCATAATACACTTTTCATCTGCATCAGTGTTTATCTCAAGTTTCATTGGTTCCAGATATACACACTCTCTCAGTTTTAGTGCTGGTTTCAGGTTTACTACGGCTATGCTAAAGTCACAAAACTGCATGGTGTCACTATAGTAAGACACTGACCTTTAACTGCTCTTTGTATTTAATATTTGCTTTAATATTTGATCTCATTTGTGATTTCTATTCCCTGCCTTACCTTAAAAATAGCTAGATTTGGATTTGCTTTTGCTAGCATCTATTTAAAACCTCCCTTGTGTTACTATTAATATCTAGCTTTACACACCAGCATCACACGAGTCCAAACGTGCCACTGTCCCTATGAAGAATCCTTCGTTTTCCTTTGGTCATTAAAAGGCTGCAGATCAGTTACTGTTAGAAGCCCATTTGCTTGCTTGCTTTTTCAAAAAAGCAAAAAGGCATCTAACAAACAAATTCACATAATATTCAGATGTGGTTTTTCTTAGAATGAAGAAACTGCTTATGTGTTTTGATTTATAAATCTGTTTTTCTCATATTGCACTTTCCAAAGCCTCTGTATTGCTAATCCAGACCGCTACGTCCTCCAACACTGATACAGGGTCATGCAGTCTTTTCTGAAGTCTGCCAAGTGGTGGCAAAGCAAAATGAAGACCCGAGCAGTTGCGAATATTGAGAAAGAGCTGTCTAACTGAATTTCATCATTTTGATAGAGCCATAACATGACTTTCCAAGATGCTCATTCAAATGGCGAGTTCCCCCCAGCAACAGAACAAACTAAACGCTCCATAGTTTAAACCTGCATATCGGAGTATTTTGTACAAACAGCACTGCGGGTCGCGAGGAAAAAAGGTAATCCGTGGGGGCTCAGGTGTGGACGCAGTCGTCGCTCGCTGTGGGCCAGGTCTGATTGCAGGGCTCTTGAGGCGAGGCTTAGGATGCGAGTGACGCGCAGAATTCACCTTTAGCCAGTGGCTTGGCTGTGCATCCCCCTGCCCCCCGTGGCAGAAATGGGGGGGTGTTATTCACTGAAACAGCAGGAGCTGGGGCACGCAGGCACCAGCTGAAGGGCAAAGAGGGACTTGGGTACTTCGATGCGCATAGCTGGAAGTTTGAGTTGAAAACCAAGATCTTCACGCTGTCACTTGTGAAGAGAAGACAAACGCATTTCGTTGACCTCAGAAGATGTGAGGAAATCTCATTAGTTTTATTAGGTCGTATAAAGATATGAGACTTATAGTTTGGACTCTGGAAAATGTGCAGCAACAGTAATACTTTGACCCTAGCACATGTGCCAGCATGGCACGAAGCGTACATTAGGGGCTGATCCCAAATGTACCTCTGCATGTAATGGACTTTGGTGGGCGCAACGCTTCTTTCATTGGTGTAATTTGACTTCAAGGAAATCACTGCTGATTTACTCTGGGCATAACTGAGGTGAGGCTCAGGCCTCCCGTTTTTAAGACGTTTGAAGAGTATACCAAGTATATGTTATAGGTATGTATATAGGTGTATATATGTATATGCACATGGAAATATTCATACACTATTTCTCTACATGATGGCTACATCCTTAGTTCTATAATTGGCACTACTATACTGGTGTCCAAAGAGATACACTGATCTAACTCAGCAGGGGATCTGGCCTCTGATATTCTAGTGTCTAAGACAGGCCTTTTTAAAAATAATTTTATTTCAAGGAAGAAATGCATTTCCTGTGTCCCAAGAGCATAAGAAGAGGACAATTGCTCTTCTCCAGATTTCAGACCAGCATCAACTCCTCCCCGTGAGTGAAGTGTGAAGGTTGCATTTCCAAAGCAGGATCCATACCTCTGGTCTATCTCTAGCCAGAGTTGGTTTTGAACACAGAGAGTGTCCTTATTTTTTTCAAAAAAGCACAGAAAGCCTGGCGAGGTCCTTGTTTACCAAACGCAGCAAAAGGATCAGCTGGAGTCCTCTGCCTCCGTCCCTTGAATTCAGGAGCATGTCACAGCCTGCACTGGGGAAGCAGCATAAATAACAACAAACGGGGGAGAAGAAGTAGCAGTCCCCAGGGTTTCCTACTGATCTCTTCCCTCCCACGTGCACACACTCACACATGCACACAACACACGAAGAGCTCCAGGGGGACTTCCACAAGGTGCAGGGAGATGAGCGTGAGCGTGGGGTGTTGGCGTGGACCTGTTGTTTCCCACTGCTGGGCGATGTTTGACATCCACAGCGCTCGGCTTCTCTTTTACTACAAGGCAACGAAGGAGGCATTTGTACCACCCGAGGCAAAGGCTGTTCTCACCTTACAATCCCTTACTAATACAGAGGAGCTGGTGGCAGAAATGGCCTGTTGGGAGCAGGTAAACACAGCCTGTGGCGGCATTGGTTCGGCCAGGGTGTTTGTGGCTCGCAGTCTTGTTAAAGCAGGTACTCTTCACTGAGGTGGGACGGAATGGCTGATTTATCTCATCTTTTCAGTCTCTAACCTCTGCCACTGCAATGATGTGATACATGGGCTGGGGCTGCTGAAAGAAAGAGAATTTATTTGGCAAGGTACAATACAATATAGCAGGAACTGACATTGCATCTGAGTCTCCGTAACAAAGTAGCATCACTTTTTGGGATGGCACTGAT